GTTTATCAAGGAACTTGGGTTGACTGATTCTAGCTTTGCTTTAAGGCACTACACCTATTCGGGAAGGGTAATATGTTTATCAAGGAACTTGGGTTGACTGATTCTAGCTTTGCTTTAAGGCACTACACCTATTCGGGAAGGGTAATATGTTTATCAAGGAACTTGGGTTGACTGATTCTAGCTTTGCTTTAAGGCGCTACACTTATTCGGGAAGGGTAATACAGTATTGTATAGAAGAAGGTAGCTTTATCTTAATTAAGTACAGTATTGTATAGAAGAAGGTAGCTTTATCTTAATTAAGTACAGTATTGTATAGAAGAAGGTAGCTTTATCTTAATTAAGTACAGTATTGTATAGAAGAAGGTAGTTATACCCAACCAGAGGAATGATATGATCTGTGAAATAAATGTGGTTTTTAGCTTAATTCATGACAATACTGTGTAGAAGAGGTTGGTTATATCCACACTCAACAGGAAATACGTGCACGGAGAAACAACCTTATCACAACCTAAGTGGAAATGCGATGAACTAGAAGATTATGAGTCTTAGTAGGAAGTATTAACTTCACGTGAAATAGTAATGTTTAGTAAAAGAAAGTTTCACGTGGTTCAAAATGATGACCTGTTGGAGAGAAAAGAGATGATTTTAGTTTACTTTATAAGAAAACTGTTTGGAAGAGGTTCGCAGAAAGAGTAATTAGCTGAAGACAGTTATAATTTAACTCAGTAAAAACTAGGGAGGGAGAAGATATTTTTGCTTAAAAATAGTAAAATGTGATATAAGAGAGATTAGTCCTCAATTCACCTGTTTAATTTTATATCATTCACTACCGGTTGAGTCCACACATTGCATCGTATTGAGTAATTTGGTATTTTCACAAAACTTACTCTTAAAGAACTGGTCAAATAATAAAGGACGAATCACTCAATTTTCTTTGTAATACTGTATAGATATCCCGTGAGGGGATTTAACTGCACAAATAAGGTATTTTTAAAATATTTTATTGATGGTGTAATATATATTGTAACATTCAACAGTCTCGATCGAAAGTTTCGTTTGTCACAATTCAATATCTAGTATAAAGTTTTGAAATAAACACTCTTTTACAAAGCACGTTTAAGCGGATACACTTTATTTGCATGGTCGGAGGTGGAAATAAGAGGATATAATGCTACTAAACAGAAAGTGTAGATAAGATTTTCACATTTTCAGGTAATAAAAAACACCAGTTCTAGAAATACCTTTTATTGGTCTATATGCCAGTAAAAATAGTTAAACTAAAGTCATTCAAGTTTATTGCTAGAGAAAAAGAAACTATATCTAAACGCTAATGGTATTTGAAAAACTACATTAATACCAACAATATAAGAATTAGCATATCATATTTTAAAACCATTTTCTAGTGATAGGAAATGAACCTTCAGTACGTTTATGTGTCTTTAGTAAGTACAAAATGGTATAAAAATTTATAAAACTGTGTAACCTTACTACAAGTTGTTTTTGGAGGGATTGCTTCGATTGTTTTACCACAAACATTTATTCAAAAATGTTTTCGTTTGATTTAAGAACTTTTAATGGAAGGAAAGAGTAATATTAGAACTTTTAACGTGTTAAGCCTCAATGTTTTTCTTTATAGTATAGTTACAATAGTTAGCATATTTAGAACAGAAATAAAAATTAAGATAACTTGGAGCAAACGTCAACAGTTTATCTTCCTGCGTTGTGTTTTAAATATCTATAATATATAGTGTAAATTATTTTGAAAGCTATAAGTATCAGATTTACTGCTGTTTGTCATAGATAGTGTTAGATACATTAACAAACTTTTACACTTATAACACTAACTTGTAGTCGTTTTCATTGGCTATTAAATGATGCATATCACTTCGCTGTTTTTTATAGATGAAAGACATAAAAAAGACGGATATTTATTGTATGTTGGGCTGGGCGTTTTCTATTGGTTAGATTGCCTTTTCCCAAATCGAAAGGTCCGTAGCTCATGCCGCCATTCCTCCTCATTTTCAGCCGTGCGTGCGTTATTAAAGTGACAGTCAATCTAGTTATTCCGTTCTTTTGGTAGGTGTGCCACCTACTGGCTTCCTTAGGCTATACCGAAACCCTACAAATCTCTAACCTCGTTGAATAATCCATTTGTCGCATAAGTCTAAGTTCAGCTTGAAAATACCAATACTAGTTATATCATACCATGCAACACTATTACTCCTAATGTGCAAATACAGCTACTGCTCCTTACTTTAACCTTCAAAACTAAGTTCACATTGAGAAAAATGTTCAAAAAATCAGATCTTATGGCCGTAGTTTCGTATTTCTACCGTTAAAGTATTTGTAGGGAGTTAACACGAATATAAAACATCACCAATTCATATAAATATAAAAAAAAAGTTTTATATAGAACTAAATAACAGTAAATAAAAATATTGAAAGCTCCATTAATACTTAATGGTAAATGTAATGATTACTTCCACGAAGTAACAATTACATTATATAATGGTCACGTTATGTAAAACGTGACAATTATTTGAAATTTGTCTCAAAAATAAAATTACTGAATGATAAAAACTACGAATATAATAAGAATATAATAATA